TGAAACATTTTAAAATTAATTTCCTTCAGGAAGTTAATTAAATGGGCAGTTTCACAAAACAATATTAATTGAATTTATTGAAAGCCGTGCTCGCTTCGGCAGCACATATACTAAAATTGGAATGAATTTATTGAAAGCCTATTTTATAATCATGAGCTAACTTAAAGGTAATGTTTCCATCTCCAGGTGAGAAGCTAACCTATGTAAGTGGGTTGAGATTCTTTTGCCATTTGAAGTAGATCCTCTCCTCCCATTGGAAGTACTGCTCAAGTCTTTCTCAAACTCTTCTGAACAGCCTACCTCCTCCCTGCAACCAGCTCAAAATAGGCCGCTAGCAGGCGGACAAAACAGAATTAAATAGCTTCACACTTAGAAGGCAACAACTTTTTTAAAGGTTATGATTTTCCTGATTTGTACCATCTCTCACTGAAACAATACTGTGTCAAACTCCTGCTCAACAATTCATTAGGTGTGTGATATTGAGCAAATCTCTTTATTTCTTTGTGCCGCAGGGATTTCTTTGTAAAACGAGTGTATTAGATCAGAAAATTGCCAGGGTCTTTGTAGCTCGAAAAATCCTATGATTCCATATTTGGCTGGCTTGATAACAACATGTATAAGCCATCACACCTGTAAATTGTGCTGTCAGTGAGTTCAATATCTGAACTTGAGCAACTGGATGAAGCTGACTTTTCATCAGCCAATTACATTTGGCCTTTGAATGAACTGTGTTACCTTCCCCCAGCCCAAGAGAAGTCAGAGTTGTTGAGATGCCACCATTAAAACCACATCCTCATGACCCTGTTCTGAGAAAGAAGCCCAAGCTGAGCTTATTTCTAGGAAGCTTCTTCATGATCCAACCCAATCCAACTGATGCTGTTTCAGTCTTTTCAGGCTGACTGCTGTGTACTCTATTCTAACCATGGGCCGGACATGACTTTCATAGCTGAAAGTCAAAGGCCATTCCTTCCAATACGAGGGAGAACACCCCGTGGATGAGAAAGACTGGAAAAAAAGTGTAACAGAAAGAATAGCAACACAACTGGAAAGAATTAAGCTGTGGCTTATGATGCTGGAATGCAGATTTTGTTGGGGAAAATGGAATGTTTCCAGCCTTCTGCACTTGAACCCAAACCCCCTACAGTGTCAGGAAATCAGAAACTTAAACTGTCACAAGAAATATAATGGGCTTTAAAGAAAGCTTATACCATTTATCAAGGAGAAAGCTCTGGAGGCTGCCAATTCTTTAAAAGGGGTGTGGCTTTAGACTCACAAAATTAAGATGCACCAAGATTTTGCATGAGACTTTGGAAAGGAACACTTATATTTAGGTAAAAAATACCATTCTCTGTTGGATTAAAACTGAATTGCATCACCGTCTGTGCCCACCGTGCCTAGGGGAACAGCCTTATGACCCAAAGTAGATGAGTGGGAACAACAGGTAGACAGCAAGGAATGAGTCCTTACACTTACTAGAATGAATAAATGTGACTGAGGCCTTAACCATCAATCATGTTTGGTTGCTAAAAACTTAAAATCCAAGCTGAGGTTAGAGACTCTCCGGGAAAAGCTTTAAAAAAAAAAAAAAAAACAGGTTTTGAGAAACTTGTGGGTCTATCATCTCTGATGTCTTCCAGAACTTTCCAGGAGAGTATGTACCTACGAGAAGTCCACGATGCCCAGACACCATGTGCAGGGCTGTGAACACTACTGGTCCAGGGACTCCTTATGATGCTTTCAGGGCAGTGCTGGCCCCGAGGCCAGAGCATCCCAGGAAAAGCTTTCAGCCAGCAGCCCTGCTCTCTGTGCGGCCAAGACCCATGCTCCTAAGGGGTCTTCTCACCACTGTTCAAGACGTCTTCCCAGAGCGGCGAGGCAGCATTTTCGAAGAGTAGTTTGTGCTGATTTAGATGCAGGTCTGAAGGTCATGCAGAAGCAGCAGCTTCCAATACCCATTTCCTGTGTCTACTTCAATGACTTTTAAGCAAATGTACTGTGTCGTGCGACTTTTACCACGATCCAGTTTTAGAACATGATCATCTCCCTAGTCAGATCCCTGGTGTCTGTCACAGTTAGTCCCCATTGCCACTGCCAGCCCCAGGTTGGCGCATGGTGTGTGGGCGCCCTCCCCTCCCCTCAGCTCCCATGTCCTCAGGTCAGGCGCCAGCTTTCAACGCAGAGGTTACTTACATGCTTCCCAGTGAGAGACGTCGACTCTGCCATTGGCTGCCACCTGGAGGCTGTAGCGAAAGCTCATGTGCAGGTGTATGTACACGCATGCGTACGCACACGCACACGCCCCACAGGCCCGGGAATTGATATAATACCTTCCCTGTCCAGCCCACCATGGACAAGTCCAACTCTGCTCCCCAAGGCTTTCAACCCAACTATTACGGGTGTGGCCACAGTTTGCAAAGGCTGCAGGAAAACTGAATATTGTCCTTCACGATATATCTCATTTTTAGAAATCAGTATTACTCAAACCTTTAACCTGAGGATCCTGCCTGTGTTTCTTGAAGAGGATATTGGTAAAGTCAGAGGTGAAAAGTCCTCTTAAGAGGATCAAAGAACTGAAGAAAGTAACGGTAGTCAAATCACTTCTGGAAAACCAGTTACACCACTCGCCCAACATTTTCTTAACAACCAAGGTTAAAAACAGTTCTAGAAACTGTGGGAAGAGAACCAGAGAAGCATTTTTTAATTGGCTCCTCTGTAGCATGTGTAAGAAATTGGTGTCCAGTTTCTGTTTCTTGGCACACAGTGGCTACTAGTTGCTTTCTGGTAGGAGCAAACTATTGGGTTTACTCTTGGGTAAACCCACTTTGTGGAGGTCAGAGAATATGACACCCTAATCCTGAGAGGCAGACCAGGACTCTGCCACCTGTGCATTGAGAAATGAGCACTGGCTGGTGTTCCATCTTGAAAAACCAGGCTGATAGCGAGACCATTTTGCAGCAGACATCCCTGAATACATTCTTATGGAAGTAACACCTACACCTAATTTATTTTAAAATATTTTTTTAGTTCCATTGATTAAAAAACAGTACCAAAGTGGATTCATACATACAAACAGTAAAAAAAAAAAAACACAACTTTGCAGATATGCAAAAAAAATGGATAGCATCTTTCATAGAGATGGGATTCTTCCATTTAAGAGTTGGAAAAAATATTCCCTATTAATTTAGCCCAGTTGTTAAAATTTCTGTTTCATATGAACATCATATTTTCCCATTTTTCCCTCCTGAATTTACCCTCAGAATGGTAGGAAATGCATTGTGACAAAAATGTATAAAACATTGGCTGAGCCCCGCATCAAAAGAATCTTCCCAAGGAAAAGGCAGAATAAGATGAAAATTTTAAATCCCTATGGAGTTATTTTTTCGAAGCATAAAAAGAAGACATTTTTAGTGCATGAAGCCCCACAGTCCCCTCCCCCAACCCTTACAACAGAGCCCACACAGTTTCGTATTTTCTGTTTTTAAAAAAATTAAATCTGGAGAGGGAAACACAGAGGGATTATTTCACATATTTTTAACTTTCTATTTTCACAGTCACTCCAATTAGCCAAACTATGACTATAACAAGAGTGACTAAAATCATGGTAGAAAGAAGTGATCACCTTACAAAACAAAGATTTCTGATTAGAGAGAACCGTAAATAAATAAGTTATGTTGAAGTGATTTCCAGTTGGGTTCCTAAGAACAGAGGCCTCAAAAGCAAAAGTCTAGAATCAATTTACCTGACTTGCACGTTACCTTAACTAAATTTCCAGAATGACCTAGTGCTCTTATTTGAGTCAACAGCCAGAAAATTCAAATTGGAATTCTATCTGGTGCTTCACAACACTGAGGAGAACACCCTGATCTATTCGCCTTACAATGTTGATAAAACAACGTTAAGGCATTAAATGCCAGGGAATATAATCCCATTATAAAAGCTCTTTATATATCAGTCTGTTCGAAACACACCAAGTCAAAGCTAAAGAGAAGACACACACAGCAGGGGCCAACCCTCATCATTCATGCACACACGGTCACGCAGATCAAGAGCAACCAAACACTGAGATGACCAACATCAGCTCATGGGTATGCTTCCCAAAATTGCAAGCAGCTTCAATTAAGCCTCAAGACAGAGCATAGAAATGTACCTCCACGCATCCTGCACACTTTAAGAGAGCAGGCTCTACACAAGGTCACCTCACACTGGGTCTTCCATTGTAAGCGGCATCGACATCTTACACTGGACCTGCCTTCGACAATCAATTTAGAAGGAGCTCTTCTGCAGAAGAGAACTCAATTGTGTTTAACATTAAAATAAAAACTAATTCCATCATTGAGTCGGCTTTCCACTAAATAACTACCACAGAAACAGTGATTTCCACACGCAAACAAGTAGTAACACAAAAGCTTCTGGACTAGGCAGAGCAATTAATTCGAACATGTATTACTACATATAGTGAAATTCTATATCAAGAACATCAGTGGAGCTGATCTTTGTCCTGAGAGGCAAGACTTTCTATGTATCTTTTAAATAATCAAACAAACCTCTTTTCCTCCTCCCACATAATGGTTAATTCAAGTTCTACAAATCACATGATTGTTACCCTCCCATTGTCAAAATCCTGAATTCCAATTTTGAAAGTTTTTGCAGGAACTTTCAATTAGAGCACAGGAATTTTACAATCATAGTGTTTTCCACACTGAAAAACAAGATAAATAACATCATGAAGGCTCCCCAAAAGTCAGCCTATTATATTTTCACGAAATAACAGCATTTGCCTTAGAATTGAGACACTTAAATCCTATCAAAACCCCTTTATCAGAAGGCAAGAGCACAGCAACAAAAAAGCAACTTGGGAAACCCTCTGCCTTCTCATTTTTAAGAATCTCATATGCTCCCACTCAGTAGAACAGAACTGAGACTCACACATTTTATTTGTTTTCCAAAAATAGCCTGCACTGTGAACACAGGGAGAGAGATAATGAAGACCAGATGCCTACCTTCACTGGTAGCCACATTCTTCTGGGCTTGGGTCGGCGTGTGATCTGTACTTGAACTCACGTCAGATGAGATGCTTGAGCTGCCTTTGCCTAGAGAAAACAGGAATGAGCAGCTTTTGAGTTTTGTAACTTCAGAACTGGACCATGTCTTCCACTCTGTCCCGTAACAAGCCATATCACTGGTTTCCAAGAAAAGAGCCGTAATACCAAGAAGGGAGTTTATTAGGTTTCTTGCCTCTTGCATTACATATCTGACCCATAAGAGTGGAACTAAAGCCCTATTACACTATAGCTCGACTATAAACTCAGACAAGATTATAAAACATATGATAACATAATCTCATTTTGGCATACTTGTGAGTAAGAGAGGACATGTGGGAAACTCATCTACAGTATTAATTTTTTATTTGCAACTCTAAACTATACATTTCCCAGTACAGGACAAAAGCACATCTAAGAATGAGGCATTATCCGAATAGTAAGGACCTGCTGGTTCCAAACAGTGGTATCACCTTAGAAACCAAATTCCCTGTTTTAATAGGTTCTTCTTTAAAAACAAACAAAAGGGCGCCTGGGTGGCTCAGTTGGTTGAGCGACTGCCTTCGGCTCAGGTCATGATCCTGGAGTCCCGGGATCGAGTCCCGCATCGGGCTCCCTGCTCTGCAGGGAGTCTGCTTCTCCCTCTGACCCTCCTCCCTCTCATGCTCTCTGTCTCTCATTCTCTCTGTCTCAAATAAATAAATAAAATCTTTAAAAAAAATAAAAATAAAAAATAAAAAAATAAAAACAAACAAAAAATACTTATGTATCTAACACGGTAGTTATCAAGTGGGGGTGCTTTTTCCCTCAGGGGGACATTTGGCAATGTCTGGTACCATTTTTAGTTGTCACAACTGGGGAGGATGTACTCCTAGAACCTAGTAGGCAGAGGCCAGGGAGGCTGCCAAACATCTTACAACACACAGAACAGCTCCCACAAGAAAGAATTCTCCAGCACAGAACGTCAGTCATGCCCTGGTATAAATAATCTCACTTCAGCTGATAGAAGAGTAACTTTTAATATGAAGATATACACTAATGTTTCTAAACATTCTCAAAATGTCTGCAAATATGAACCCTACTCACTACCTAGTAAGAGAAGTATCAGTGACTGCGGTGAGCAGAGTTCTAAGATAACTCCCATGGTACCTGCTACAGATTGAATGTGTTCCCCCCAGCCCCCCAATTCACCTAATCCCCAGTGGGATAGTTTTAGGAGGTGGAACCTTTGGTAGGGGATTAGAGCATAAGGGGGGAGCCTTCACGAATGGGACTGGTGCCCTAACAGAAGAGACCCCTGAGGGCTCCCTGGCCCCTTCCACCATGTGAAGACATATGAAAAAGACAGCTATCTGTGAACCAAGAAGCAGGCTCTCACCAGACGCCTTGCTCTTGGACTCTTCAGCCTCCAGAACTGTAAGAATTAAATTCCTGTTGTTATAAGCCACTAGTCTATGGTATTTTTTTTTGTAGCCACTTGAACAGGCTAAGCTGGTGCCCGTGTCCTTGGTAATGTTCCCTCCAGTGTGGGTAGAACCTGTAACTTGCCTCTACGCAATAGAATATTTCAAGAGTGAGGGGGTTTTGCAGATGCAATTAATTTCCTAATCAGTTGACTTTCATCAAAAGGGAGGTTGTCCTGGGTGGGCCCAGCCTAAATAGGTAAGCTCTCTCCAAGTGTCTAGAGAAGAGACCCTGCCCACTGGCTCTGAAGAAGCAAGCAGCTGTGAGTTCTGCAAGGAAAAGAAATCGGCCAGCAGCCAAGTAAGCGTGGACGGGGACCCACCCAAGCCTCTGATGAGAGCACGGCACTGGCCAGTGTCTTGATCACAACTCTGTGAGACCCAGAACAAAACTCCCAGCTGATCCAAGTCCAGAATTCTGATCCCAGGAAACTGCGAGATAATAAATGTACCTTGCGTTAAGCTGCGGCTAAGTTTGTGGTCATTTGTGATGCGGCAAGAGAAAACTAATATAATGACCATCCAATTCTATCACAAATGAGCTCTTTTTGCTTCACAAGGTATGATCGGAACTCTTACATGTGGCTGAGAAATACATTCCCAGTAGTGCTCCCCGAGCAGAGGCACACACCCCAGTTTGGGGGAGTGCGCCTACGTCGAAACACAGAGCAGAGAAGAACAGATGAGCTTCACTTTAAGAGCTTCAAGGATTTGATTGTGAATGTTGGGAATAACGGAACAACACGAGTTCATGGGTGATACTATCTGAGCAGGGACGTCAAAAGGCTGTTGTCTCCCTTTACCACTGCCCATTGCTCACGGTGACTTCTAGCTCTGAGACAAGTCTGTTATTCCTGTTGTCCCCGCCCATTTCACATCCTCCTCCCTGAGAGTTAGCCAAGATGACACAGTAACTCTCCATTAGTTTGTATTTAGCCCATTTCTGTGGCCTGCCATGGTTCACCTTCAGAGAGTGGACATATTGGACCAGGTACATAGTTAAAAGTATGTCAATGTGGTCTCTGACCTCAGTCTGCTGCTCCCTTGTTTTTGACCTTGAATACTCCCTTTTTCCTCCTCCAGGAGGCTCAGTGTCCACATGTGGCAGGAGAGATGGTTGGACTGAGTGATTCCCAGCAGCTCAAATAGTCTGTGATTCTATGAGTCCATTACGGTACTCCTCAAACCTGAGTAATGCCAACACTCCCTTTAATATGGCAAAAAGCATTACTGTTCACCACTAATGGAGACTTAAATTATCTTTAGTATGCTGTTATTTAGTGATGCACAAATGGAAAGCTAAAAATAAACTCCATACGCTTTAACTGATTCAACAATAAGACCAAAACAAAGTAATGAATTAAACACAAAAACAAGAAAGGCCATAAAATTCGAATTAACAGCGTTAATGTGGCAGATGATGTTATTTTGCAGAGAGATTAAATTGCCTTTCAAAATGTAAACATAGTACTTGCTGCTAAAGCCAATGTTCTCTTGGTTTGGCCATACCCATGCTACCCCCCCAGTGAGGGTTCAGCCTGCCCACCATTTTCCTCCCTTCAAACTCAGGAGTCCTTCCTCCCAGAACAGGATGATACATCACTGGGCCTTCATTCAGTCTGACTGTTTCACTCATGATCTTTAAATCTGCTCCTCTTTTATTCCTTACTGGCCCATAAGCATTGAAGTAGAATTCTTGCCTTAAAAGATAGGTGTAAACTTGGACAATGAAATCTTGTGGCAGGACTCGTCTATAAAGGAGAACCAGTATACAATGATTTATTGTTTTTATGATTGTCATCAAAACGAAAGCACAAAGTACAATAAATTTCAGAGGAAATTCTCAGACAGGTCTGAAAACAGAATGCGGACCCCTCAGGGGACCACAAACTCCAATTTAAGAAATGCTAGTCTATGAAGAAAGGGAAGAAGATAAAAAAACAAATGATATTTATAGTAACAACTATGTATGCTGTTCCGTGTAGTCTAGTAAATACTTTAAATGTTTCACCACATAGTCACTCTGCCCTGTGGCTATGTTTTGCAATCACTTTTTCATTACTGCCCTCGCCCCCAAGGAAACTTTTGGGACTTTTTCCTAACTATCCCCCAAACGAAATTGTATATAGCCAATATACTATACATCTGTTACACGCTCCATGTAGATCTCTGCTTTTTACAAAAAAAGGAGTTCTCACCACCCCCCCCCCATTAAGAACCAATTTTTGTCCCTTTGAGAACATGGGCCTTTGATAGCACAACACTGAAATTTAACAAATTAATTAAGGAAAGCAAGATAATAGAGAAATACAGTCCACTCTTGTTATTCATGGTAGTTATGTTCTACAAAGTCACCACAAACAATGAACTAACAATACTGGATCACTGATTCTAGGGGAAAGGCAGGATTAGGTTTCAGCCTACTGTTGCTCACAACATTTTTGTCCACCCATCAACACATAACCTTGTTTCACGTGTGTTTCTTTTTTTTTTTTTTTTAAGATTTTATTTATTTATTTGAGACAGAGAGAATGAGAGAGAGAGCACATGAGAGCGGGGAGGGTCCAGAGGGAGAAGCAGAGCAGGGAGCCCGATGCGGGACTCGATCCCGGGACTCCAGGATCATGACCTGAGCCGAAGGCAGTCGCCTAACCGACTGAGCCACCCAGGCGCCCTCACGTGTGTTTCTGTTTAAAGACATCTTATTAATATATACTGTTGATTGATCAGCACTGAACTTGTGGCCAACGGTGCTATAATTCAAACTTAAATGAACTTTATCTAATAATACATGTGAGGCACCTCACAACCTTCTCACACTTAGGAACACCAGACAGCCCTTCAGCATGATGCTTGAAGGTCACCTTAGGTAGTGAAACCACCAATAAAACTCAAAAAAATAAAAAATAAAAAATGTGGTGGTAAAGAGACTGCAAAAAGGACACTTATTTATAGTATGAGAGCTGAAACAAGGAGGCGATATCACCTTGTTCATCCCCAGCTGGGAACGTGCACGCTGGGAGATTCAGATTTTTCGCCACTCTGCTCATGTTCGTGAATGACCATGAAAGCATGGTGAGTACTGATTTGGGGGATACAAATAAATTTTAGCAAGTAGACAAATTTGCAAATATGGAATCCGCAAATAGTGAGAATCACCTGTATATAATCTTGTATCACATATGGTTCCACAGCTTGTAGACAGCTTTCATGTGGACTGGAGTGAGTATAGTCCAGGGTCAGGAGGCCAGGGCTCCTACCTGGATTTGCCATATACTAGTGTTGGGCAAATTAATAAACCCCTCTATGCTTTAGTTTTTTTCAGCTATAAACGGGGTGGGGATGAGCCATCCCTGCCTCCTAGGGCTGTTTTTAAAAGTCAATAAAATAATCCAAATACAGCACTTAGGAAATTCTCCACAAATCTCAGAATAATGGGGTTCATATTTTGGATGCTATTACTATGCTTTGTTTCTACCTTGCTTCTGGAAGCACAACCATCTCCCCAGTGAGTTCAGGAAAAAGGTGTATATTTCAGGGTGGGGAGTTTACAGGAGGAACTCAAGAAAGAATGAACGAGGTGATATG